GTCTTTGAAAACCTTATGTCTCACATTCCTCTGATTGATTTATTAAACCACAGTAGAGGTCAGCAAAGAAACCCAGGTGCGGGCGTGGATAGTTCTGCAGCCAGTTATGCCCTAGATTGCAGAAGCAGCATGTATTTCTCTGCAGTCAGGAAAGTGCAACTGAACAAACAGGGTTAGTCCTGTCAGGTTGCTTGAAACGCTGTCCCCCCTCTGACTCTGACTGGTGACTATGATGGAGGGTGAGGCACTGTGGATCAAGGCCTCCGGGGAGAAAAGACATTACCTTGGCTACTTCTGTGGGTGGAACAAGCCTTTAAGGGTCTGGCCCCATCACCATCATTTCTGCTCAGACAGCACTAAGTCCCTGTCACTTGCAGTGGTGAGCGTGCTCTGAATAGAAATGAGTTTCTCATCTTTAATGCATTCATTTGACATCCGCCCTTCTGCTGCAATCTAAAATCTATACAGCGGCACAGCACAGTTTTTGTGATGCATCACTTACAGAATGGGGGGCTTCCAATTAGATATCCTTTCCATTCAACAGCATGTGTTCTTTTAAGCATTGGTAGGAGGGAGACCCAACCATGAGTTTAATGTTGTTAGATGAATATGGCTCCAGTAACACAAAGAAATTAACTGGCTTCAAGATACATAAGGAAAGATAACTGTGGCTTCAAAAAAGTGTACCTTCCAGTTAACTTTTTGCCCATATTTCTTTTGAAAAAGATTAAAATGTATGGCAAGTTTGACACACTTCAATCATGGGCTGCTGAGTGCCAGCACTTTTATTTATTGCAGTGATTTTAAAGGTAATGTTCAGGAAACCTGTTTATAAAGTGCAATCAAGGAAAGTGGGAGTCGGGGTGTGGTGACTGCAGATTTAGAGGGGCCAAGATGCATTTTGGCTTAAGAACTTCTGAAAAGATTATGTTACAAATGGGTAATGAGGCTGTATCTGTAAAATTACACCATGGAAAATGATAGTCATATTATTTTGTTACTGGTTATGTATTGTCTTTTACTAGGAATATCCATTTTATTTTATTTTGGGATGTTTAGGGAAACTTGTAACAATCACACAGTTCATTGTCTTTGCTAGCTGTCCAAAGAGAACATCCTCAACCACTGCTTCACAGTATAGATCACTTCCTGTTGGTGTTACCCAAATGGGAGGGGTTCACTACATGCGTGTTATATTCTGTGGCCTGCAGCATGTAATTATTGAACTTTGCAGAGGCAGAGAAGATGTGGACTCGGATGAGGAGAGATGTACTCAATCTTGAACTTGAGGTAGCTGTGTGATTTCAAATGACTGAATATCTTTGGCTTCAGCTGTTTGCTCTGAATAACCTTCGCATGGAGATTTTGTCCTTATTAAATAATAGATAGTAAGTGCCTGTTACTTGGTAAGCAGCCCTTCTGTGTTTATTACCTTCATCCTTCCTTGGATTGATGTATGGACTCTGGCACTAATGCCATTGATGTATCTGCTTGATGATGAGGGGGATGGAGACCCACCTGCTATTCTGATGTAGGATTATTTGACTGTATTACTGTTGGGAGGAGAATTCGGCTTTCAGGACCATGGACAGAAACCTTCCATGCTCTATTTAGCCTGTAAGAATTCCAGCCTGATGCTGCACTTTAAAAAATTAACGCCAATACCGAAGTTCCTGTGCCAAAAAGATTTCAGAATAAGCAACAGAAAAGCTGAAGTCACCAGGTGCCCACTTGATTTATTTTTAGTGGTCCTAAAACGGTTATATCCTAACTATGTAACCCTAATGCAAATATATCTTGCTTTTGACTAATGGACCTAGAAAAGTTGTTTGAAGAAATATAGAGGTGTTTGGAGATAAATAAAACAGTAAGAATTTTGCTAATGATTCTCACCAACTCGTATTTATTCCCAGTTTTCATTACTTATATCTACTAGATGGGGTCCCACTGGGAACTCCCAATTTCGTGTTTGTCCTATGCTTATGGGAAAATCAAAAGATAAAGATAAGACTCATAGGCCTTATGGAGATAAATAGAGAGAAGGTGATAGACATACACACAGAAAAACACACAGAGACACAGAGAGGGAGGAGGTGAACCAGCAACCTACTGCAGAAGTCACCAAGGCAGAGCACTTATGGACCTGGAAAAGGAAAGCCAAGCTGTTTCTCTTTAAAGTGTCTTACTCTACCTTGGCTCAGACACACCAAGCAATGTCACTTGGGCTCTTGGAGCAAATGCTGACAAGAGGATTGGAAAGGGAGGATGACTGAGCAGAATATTTAAAAAGAGTCTGGCACCTAGCAGAGGAGAGCACAAAGCAGAATAATGAAGGGTGGGGTGGGGGACTCAACGTGGATTCAGAACCTCTCCCTCTACTCCAAAGCAAGGCAAAAGGGAAGCAACTATAACCAGTGGTTATTGTTGGATGCTATGAAGAAAGAGTAGAAAGCCCCATTCATGAATGCTAACACTGCCCCTCTCTTCCATTTGTTCTTGGTCAGGATTAGCAAGAGAATCGGTCCTAGATGCTCAATCAGACTTGCAGATGCCAGTCTTGCCACCAAGCCCGAGTACCTGCCTCCCCTCTTCATTGCTCACTGAACCTCAGAAGGTGCCCCATAATTTATTTTGTCTGCAGCACCTCATGGTTCCTGCAGCACCAGCCGCACTGTTCCCTTCTGGGCAGTCTGCTCTGCAGTCAACGGTGTTAACAAGAAGTCCTGTCTCCCCATCCAAAGAAAACACACACACACACACACACACACACACACACACACACACTCATGCTTAAGATCTCTGAGAATGACCTGTAACTCCTGAAGAAAGGCACTGGAAGAATGGGAGTGAAAAATGCCCAACAGTGATGTGTGCAGACCTGCTACAAAAGATTATGAAATGATACAGGATACATGGAGCTAGCTTGAGGAAAAATCTGCAGTTTTTCATACACACACACACACACACACACACACATATATACATACATATATATATATATATATATATATATATGGGAATAATAGGAAGCAAGGAGAGCTATGACTTATTCAAGATCTCTCTCTCTCTCTCTCTCTCTCTCTCTCTCTCTCTCTCTGTGTGTGTGTGTGTGATGTGTGCGTTTCTCCCCTTTAAGTCCTCTTGATCACTGATGAATATGAAAAAGGATATGCAGGCTACAGAGAACTATCTGAATAGTACTTGACCCTATATGCTGGCTTCGTAAGTCGCAGGCAGCCTGGCGACTTTAGGCTTGAAAGCATAGAATGTATAATCGGGGTGGGCTTCTAATATGGCTTAGACTTAACAGATTTAAACTACCAGCAACCCCGTGGGAGTCCTCTGCTTCAGTCGGTTCCTCTTCCATTTAGGGGACGAGTTATCAGAATCACAGCAAGTGTAAGATGAGAAAAGAACTTGCAGAATAAACCTCACCTCACCCTCTTTTCGGTTTCCAGAAGCGACCGTGCACAGCTCCAAAAACTTCACTTCCCTATTTGAAAACCGTTATCCATACTCCCTTATTGGGCCATTTAAAGGAAACAGTACGCTAGTGGTATGTTGAACAAATTAAACAAAACGCCAAATGCTTACTTCAAAAGCGGTTTTAGTTACTTCCAACGAATCTGAATCTCTGCAGTATCTTTTCGAAACTGCAGGAACTCACAGCTTGAGTATGAAAGTGCTGCACTCATGTGCGTTTGGCTTGCCCACTCTGGTATCTGGGGTATCTGAGTGCTTCCCGAAGGAAGTCCATAGATTCCCTATTGCATCTGTTACCTATGAATTTCAGCCGGCTATTTATTTTCATTCCGCTTCCAGGCTGAATTCTTTTCCTAGGAGACCACACCCAGAGCTGGCAGCTGTTCGCAGCAGCGGTTTCTCCCCTCAAGCTTTAAGAAAAAAAAAAAAAAAAACCTGCCACCTGCATGGCTTGTCGAAACCATCAGGTTGGGGTACCACACAGGTGTAAAAGAGGGGAAGAGGCTTTTGATGCGAAAGAAGCCGGAATAGATCAGTGTGCACACGGGCACCCTGAAGTTCTTGCGCTGCAGAGTGCGTCTTTGCCTTGCAAGTCTTTCTTTGCCTGATTTGTTTCAACCCCATCCCAAGCATTTCAGGCTTCATTCCCCACAAAGAAAGGAGAAATTTTATGAAAGGTGCCAGACAAATTAACTGCTTCCTGTAAAGGTTTTAAAATGTTAAAATGACCACCCGCTGTCCTGAGGTCTCAAGGGTGTTTGGTGGGGCATGTCCCCCATGTGTTGAGAAACGGAGTGATAAGGCAAAATAAATAAAAGGAGGCAGGAGAAAGGGAGGAGAATATAAGAAAATGTCAGAAAATAGCTACAAAGACATGCAAAACTTTCCTGCAGGAATGTCGCATGGACGCTACCCTCAGCTATTGTCAGTAACCTAACAGCCCCAGACTCAACACCCGGCTACGTAAACACAAAGCAGGATGCTTAAGAGGGTCCCTGGTGGAGAAAGGGCGAGCTAAGGGTGGGGTGGGGTCAGGGTGTCTTTGAGACATTGGATATTAAAAATTGATGTGTCAGTTTCGGGAGCGAGAGCCTTTTATCTGGAACATTTAAAGATCCGAGTGATTGAGGGCTTTAGGTATTAGTAGGCAGAGTGGGCTGGGGGAGTGGGAAAGGAAAAGGAATGAACAGGGAGGTTGTGGGGGTCTCATAGAAAGTGGAGGGTCTCAGAGCAAAGCTGCCAGGCGGAAGCCGCACTTCGCCAGCTGCCTGTCGCTCGCCCCCGCCCTCGCTTTTGCGCAGAATCCTCCCCTTGGCTGCTGCAGCGCACTGCCCCCACTGGCCTGCGCACCGCGATCGATCGCAGTCTGCGTCAGAGTCCTGGAGTATAAATAGAGGTGGCAGGACCGCGCCGAGCCGCACACAGCCATCCATCCTCCCATTTCCCTCTTCTTCCCCGTTTTTCTCTCTAGGTCCCCCATCTCCGCTCCTGGCCGGAGGGGCACACCGGCCGCCACCATGAGTTCGTTCGGCTACGACCCGTACTTTTCGACCTCCTACAAGCGGCGCTACGTGGAGACGCCCCGGGTGCACATCTCCAGCGTGCGCAGCGGCTACAGCACGGCGCGCTCCGCGTACTCCAGCTACTCCGCACCGGTCTCCTCCTCGCTGTCCGTGCGCCGCAGCTACTCGTCCAGCTCCGGCTCGTTGATGCCCAGCTTGGAGAACCTCGATCTGAGCCAGGTAGCCGCCATCAGCAACGACCTCAAGTCGATCCGCACGCAGGAGAAGGCACAGCTCCAGGACCTCAACGATCGTTTCGCCAGCTTCATCGAGCGCGTGCACGAGCTGGAGCAGCAGAACAAGGTCCTGGAAGCCGAGCTGTTGGTGCTGCGCCAGAAACACTCAGAGCCGTCCCGCTTCCGCGCCCTGTACGAGCAGGAGATCCGCGATCTGCGCCTGGCGGCGGAAGATGCCACCAACGAGAAGCAGGCGCTGCAGGGCGAGCGCGAGGGGCTGGAGGAAACTCTGCGCAACCTGCAGGCGCGCTACGAGGAGGAGGTGCTGAGCCGCGAAGACGCCGAGGGTCGGCTGATGGAAGCCCGCAAAGGCGCCGATGAGGCCGCGCTCGCCCGAGCCGAGCTGGAGAAGCGAATCGACAGCCTGATGGACGAGATCGCCTTCCTGAAGAAGGTGCACGAGGAGGAGATCGCCGAGCTGCAGGCTCAGATCCAGTATGCGCAGATCTCCGTGGAGATGGACGTGTCCTCCAAGCCCGACCTCTCCGCTGCCCTCAAGGACATCCGCGCTCAATATGAGAAGTTGGCTGCCAAGAACATGCAGAATGCCGAAGAGTGGTTCAAGAGCCGCTTCACGGTGCTGACCGAGAGTGCCGCCAAGAACACCGATGCTGTGCGCGCTGCCAAGGATGAGGTGTCCGAGAGCCGCCGCCTGCTCAAGGCTAAAACCCTGGAGATCGAAGCATGCCGGGGTATGAACGAAGCTCTGGAGAAGCAGCTGCAGGAGTTGGAGGACAAGCAGAACGCAGACATCAGCGCCATGCAGGTATGGCACGAGTTCAAGCACAGTGGGGGCGGGGAGGCTGCACAGTCCGGGTGCAGGGTGCACCCAGAGAGTGAACGCTAGGGGGTCCTCGAGCCTGGAGCTGCTATCAGAGGGTTTGGCTTCCGGGAGGTTGTGGAAAGGGTGGGGCACTTGGAGGGGGCGGGGCGCCACTGCGGCTTGCTGTGTTCTTAGGGATGGGTTGGGAGGAGGGGAGGAGGGAGTTGGAGTTGGGCGTGGCCACTAGTCTGATGCTTACTCTTTACTGACCACTCAACTCAAAGTTAACCTGGCACTTTGTGGATCTCCTGGTTAATAAATACAGTGGCTAGCTCTCACTAGTTCTGGATCACCCAGCTTTGGAATAGTTTTGTTTTTTAACAGGGACACTAGAATACAGTCAGAATATTTAAGCCAATTATCGCAACCTATTTATTTATTTATTTATTTATTTATTTATTAGTCCTCATCTTCAGGGGAGTAGAAACAGAGTTGTGGAAAGCATGTGACCTGGCTAAAAGACAGAAGTGTGACAAAGGGTTTCTTTCTTTCTTTCTTTCTTTCTTTTTTGTTTTCTTCCTTTTTTAAAAAATCAATTTGGTATTTTTTAGACATTTTCCCATAACCAATAAACTAAAGAAAATTTAAAAAGTTGTTTACATCAGTCCACCTTCCTCCCTCCCCTTCTCATGCATCACTAGACTGAACATTTTAGGCCATAAAACCATGCAGTTATTTTAAGGGAGATTTTATTGAAGGTGCACACTCTGGAGTTAACTGAAGCTAGTCCTTACACCAACATCACAGTAAAATAAAAGCAGTAGAGATTTGTGTTTTGAAAATCTAAAACAATCTTCCAACAGGACACTATCAACAAATTAGAGAATGAGTTGAGAAGCACGAAGAGTGAGATGGCAAGGTACCTGAAGGAGTACCAGGACCTACTCAACGTGAAGATGGCCTTGGACATTGAGATCGCAGCTTACAGGTAAAACTGGAATGGAGCAGGCAGTGGGCATGGCACCTCAGAAAAGATCAGATAACCAGAGTCTGGGCAGAGTTATGTTGAATCACAAGTGTTCTAGAGTAGCCCTACTTTGGAGTTCCTCCAAGAAGGTACAAACATATAATGAATTGACCCTGAAGCAATGTAAGCCCTCTTCTTAGCATTTACATCTTAAATCTAATAGGGCTCCATAGAAGATTTGGGGGGGGCATGGTCTCTTGTGAAATCTCTATTAAATCGTAATTATGCCTAACCCTGCTTATTGCTGTGTTTGCTTTTGAGGTTGGCAACAGGGGAAAGTGATGCATGGTGGGCTTAGAACAAGTCGTGAACACACATCCAGTGTGGTCTAACTGTACCCTTCACCTGCCCCTTCTCCCCTAGGAAACTCTTGGAAGGTGAAGAGACCAGGCTCAGTTTCACCAGCGTGGGCAGTATAACCAGTGGCTACTCCCAGAGCTCGCAGATCTTCGGCCGCTCTGCCTACAGTGGCTTGCAGAGCAGTTCCTACTTGATGTCTGCTCGCTCATTCCCAGCTTACTACACCAGCCACGTCCAGGAAGAGCAGACAGAGGTGGAGGAGACCATTGAGGCTGTCAAAGCTGAGGAGGCCAAGGATGAACCCCCTTCTGAGGGAGAAGCAGAAGAGGAGGAGAAGGAGAAGGAGGAGGGAGAGGAAGAGGAAGGCGCTGAGGAGGAAGAAGGTATACAAAGACAAAACCCTTTAGAATTCCTAGTGCATACTGGCTGTGGGTATTCATTGGGAGATGGATGAGCTATGGGGCTTTGCCTACTACCTAGGGAGTTCTTTGTGAGTTTTGCAACAATAAAAGATACACGTGTGATGAGGACACACACATTTAATAAGCATCTATGAAAAATTGCAGAAGGTTCATATTTTAACTCTTGGTGGTTTAGAGAGGAGATAAGCTCCCAGCACCTGGAAGTTATATCCCTTTATTTAAATACATGTCTCCTGCCAAATTGTTCACCACAAGCACTGTCTGTAACGTGTCCTTCGGGAGAGTGGGGCAAGAGGTTTATAGACACACTCTGACAGTAGTGTTTAGTAACTTATAGAGTATGTGCTGAAATGTTCTGCCTGGACTTAACCTAGATTCGGATCTTGTATTTTCTTCTTATGTTCAAGCTGCCAAGGATGAGTCCGAAGACACAAAAGAAGAAGAGGAAGGTGGCGAGGGTGAAGAGGAAGACACCAAAGAATCCGAAGAGGAAGAGAAGAAAGAGGAAAGTGCTGGGGAGGAGCAAGCAGCTAAGAAGAAAGATTAAGCCCCTGTTCCCAGCTTTCCAAGAAAAAAATCTCCCCAAATCAGGTCAACCTCATCACCAACCAACCAGTTGAGTTCCAGACCCTATACAAATTAAGAAGTCCATATATGTATAATTCTGAGATGACTTAGGTTGGGCATTCAATGTTGTGCTATGAATTTTCTCCGTATGCAGAGTATCTGTTTGCTTGCAGAGTGGCTTTCTGGCTTGCTGCCAGCCTGTGCATGGTCCATGCTTATGAGTTCAGGATCTATGGCAATATGAATCACACAGATGTTTACAATAATAAAAACCACACACACACACACCATGAATAAATGAATTCACTAATGTTCATGTGCAACTCCATGGGAAAATAGTCATTTGAAACTTCGGTGGTTAGAAATCAAAGACCTCGAGTTATGTGCAATAAATAGTAAATAAAGTTACACTGAATGATATATATTTTGCTGTGTTTTTTTTTTACTTAATTAAAATACCTTAAAGAAGGCACCAATATAAGCAAATGTGTTACTGATCCCCAATTTTTTATAATATACAAATTTTAATAAGTGCTGTTCGTATTTGGGCATTCTTAGGGATAGAGAAATAGGTCAAGACTAGAAAATACTCCCCTGCACACACTTTACTGATAATAATAATGAGAGCATTCATAAATAACAATGTAATTCACCTTGTAAAATGTACAATGTTGGCTGGAGGGGTGGCTTTCTAGAAGCCAATTTTGAAATTATAGTGGACTAGCATACAGTAGTACAATCTGGGTAGACTATGAATCCCACACAGTTGTCACTATGGTTACATTTTTAGTATATTCTTGAATATCATGGGTATAAATGAAAATCTAAGCCCATGATATAATTAAGAGGAATGACTTAAAAATCTATATTTGATTTTGAGTGGGGCAAGTAACCTTATCAGGCTATCTGCCACCACAAACATGTTGCCTGGAATCCTGAGCTCATGAATGGTGTGTTGTTTGCTTCATTCTACTGTCTCACATAAATTGCTAGAAATTTTAAAATCCTTTAAAAACCATGCAAGCAGGTAATGGAATTATATTAATGTTACTTCTCGGGGGAGGTAATAAATTTGTATGTTGTGTTGGCATTGCTCTGCATGTCTTAACTGGTAAATATTTGGATTTCAATGCCTGGTTGGACACTGCATCACATCTATACCCCATCTGCCCCCATCCATGGTAAAGCCGTGATAACTCTTGCACTTGTGTTTGGTGTGGACTACAGATGAAGTCTTTGCCTATCTACTGCTCTGATGTTCTTAAACAACTGTTTGGTCTGCTGATTTCTTCACTGTTTTTTAGATGACCTTTGAGACTTAGGAATTTTACCTAAAACCAAATCGGTCTTCATTTAAAGTTATGTGGTCTCTCTGCATTACTTACTTCCAGTTGAATGTGTGTTACTGCACAAATAGGGAAAGCGTTTCTTTATCTACCATGATGCAACTTTGCACAATGAAAGCTCTTGGTATTCCTTCGTAGATAGGAAACCTCCTACACAGCAAACTTGTCACACTTGTGCTTGTTAGTTATGAGTTGATGCAAACAGCTGGTTGATTTAAGAAATACTTGATTGAAGAACACAGTTCCATATTCAATCCTGTGTGCCATAATAAATATTGAAAAAATCTAAATTCAATGAATTTGAAGTCTTTTTTTTAAAAAAAATCTCTAAATTGAGTCACTGGCCAGTCTTTCTGTTTCTGTGGTTCCACACAAGCACAGACTCCAGCTCTCACTCCTCATTCCCCTTTTCAATGGCCCTGCTCCCCCGTCATCCAGCCCATAATATAATTAAGAGGAATTACTTTTAATCCATATTTGATTTTGAGTGGGGATTATGTGGATTTTGCAAAGGGTGTTTTTGGAAGGTAAAGCCTTACTATTTTGGGCAATTCATGGACATGATAAAGAATTTATTCTTTCTCCTTTGGGAAAGCATAAGCTGTCAGGACTGGTATGGCCAAGATTCATTTGCAAGGTGTTCTTAGCAGAAAAGTCAGGGATTTTTTTTTCCTCTTAGGAAGTGAATAGCTATGTAGAACGGAGGACAAGACAACAAATGTTAGCAGTTGTATAGCATGAGCTGTTTTCAATTTAAAGTCCTCTAGATAATTCTCATGAATGAGTACCAGAAAGCCAAAAAGCCACAAAGCAAAAGAATAAAGAAGCCTTTAGCCATTCTTGGAGATAACTGCCAGAGTTTCACCAAACTTCTAATTCTAATTCAACATGGATACCTGCTTGGAGGAAGAGGCTCAAACGCAATGCATTCACAAGACTCTCACATTTAAAAAAGGAAAGTCCTACTTCTGTCATTCAAACCCAATTATTTTTCTTCATATGTTATTTTACAGCTCTTGCTTCTATTTATGCATATTTTGACATAAATATCAATCCATTCCATGAGATTAATTATAAGCTACATTGCATGTGTTCTCAGACTGCATGAAAGAAAGCGAAACAGTGTCCCTGCTTCCACGTGTAATAAGCAGGTGGTCTTTACTGGGGTCAGGTAGGCAATGATCTGGGGAGCAAGGCTTCCTGGCAGAGGGGGTAGCAGGTATAAAAGCTTGGGTTCTTTGAGTTCAGATGCTAAATTCGGAGAGAGAAAGAGAGAGAGAGGGTGTGTGAGGAGAGATGAGAAGAGAGGAGAGAGAGAGAGAGAGAGAGAGAGAGAGAGAGAGAGAGAGAGAGAGAGAGAGAGAGAGAGAACTAAGATGATTATAATCCAGAGAAAGTAAAAGTTCACTTGGAACAGGCTGTGATGAACAATGTGGCAATAGAAATAATGTGGCATGTTGCATTGAGTAAAATTTTGAAGTAATTTCATTTTTCTCCTTTAATTGAAAATAGATTTTTCTCATAATATATTCTGATTATTGTTTCCCCTCCATGTACCCCTCCCACTTTCTCCCTACCTCCCCTCTTATCTGGAGCCCCCTTCTTTCTGTGTCTCATTAGAAAGCAAACAGACTTCTAAGGGATAAAATAAAATAAAATAAAATAAAAACTAACACATCAAAATAGGACAAAACAAACAAACAGAATGAAAAGAGCCCAAGAGAAGGGACAAGAAACAGACATCAATGTAGAGAGCCACTCATGGGGACACACAGGAATCCAATGAAAATACTAAACTGGATGGCATAATATATACAAAGGACCTGTAGGGTATAAAGAGAGGGGAAAATATAAATAAAATCAAAATAAAACATAAAATATAAGACAAAAATACTTGACATGACATCATGAAGCAAAGAACTCCAAATATATCATTGAGTTCCTTTTTCTGATGGACTTTTACTGCTGGGCAAACAGCTGTCCCTTAAGAGTAGTTTGTTTTCTCAGTGAGATTCCCCTGGAGAAAACTAAATTATCTTTTGCAAATGGTTACTAATTGGAGATTGCTTTTGGGTTAAGGATGGATGGAGGCATGTGTCCACTTTTTCTTTCAGCTCTAGAACCCTATCTAGTGCAGACTCATGCAGGAGCTATGCAGGCTGCCTCAGTCTCTGTGAGGTCATATGCACATCTGTCTTGTTGATTTAGAGCGCCTTGTTTTATTGGTGCCCTCTATCCTCTCTGGCTTACACTCCACCTCCTCTACCACGTGGTTCCTTGAGTTCCAAAGGGAGGGATTTGATGGAGAGATCACATTTAGAGATTAGTGTTCCAAGGTCTCTCATTCTCTGCCTAATATCTGGCTGTGGGTCTCTGTATTTGTTCCCATCTGCTGCAGGAGGAAACTTCTCTGATGATGGATGAACAAGTTGAGGTGGTTTGAATAGGTATGGCTCCTATAGACTCATTTGTTTGAGTGCTTGGCCTATAAGGAGTGGCACCTTTGGGACGTGTGGTCTTGTTGGAGTGGTTATGGACGTGCTGGAGGGTGGGCTTTGAGTTCTCATATGCTTAAGCTATGCCCTGTGTGGTAGTCAGTTTACTTCCTGTTGTCTGACGATCAAGATGTAGAAATCTCAGCCACCTCTCTAGCACCATGTCTGCCTGCGTGTTGTCTTACTCTTCACCATGACAGTAATGAACTAAACCCTTAAAACTGTAATCCAGCCCCAATTAAATGTTTTTCTTTATAAGAGTTGCTGTGGTCATGGTGTCTCTTCACAGTAATAGAAGCCCTAACTAAGACACAAGTATAGCAGAATGTCATTAGGAGCCATCTTATTGCTGCTTTTTCTATCTATCTATCTATCTATCTATCTATCTATCTATCTATCTATCTATCTATCTTTCTATCTATGTATCTATCTATTTATCTATCTATCTATCTATCTATCTACCTATCATCTGCCATCTACTTGTTCATTTATTTATTTATTTTTAGAAAAGTAGTTTTTAGTTTTACCCTAGGTACCTGGGCTATATAATCTCAGGTTTTTAGTCACTCCAGCAGTATCAGATACAGGTTTTATCTCATGGAATAGGCCTTAAATCAAATCAGACGTAGGTTCATTACTCTTACAAGCATTGTGGCACCCATTGCACTATCATATTTCCATGTAGGACACCATTATAAAGCAAAGGTTTGTAGCTGGATTATTATAAACTCTAGCACATAGGGGTGAACACTATGGAGATACAAGCTCAGCTTCCCTATGTTCAATGAGTTGTGGAGGTATTATCTTCAGCAATAGGATCTTGCTCTCAGTGTGTGGAGAGCAGCCTACATCTTGGCAATAGTCTAGGTTGTGTGTGTGTGGATTCCTATGGGACACTTTTGGTGAGCAACTCAGTTATATGTAACCCATTTCCAGTACTGGAAGCTTCATTTGGTGACAAAAAATTTCTATGGACTTTGTCTCTCCCAATATTTGGCAATTTCATTTAGATTGCTTTCATAGATGAATATATTTTAGTAAGTCAATGGCATTCTTTTCAGAAAGTCTTTTCCTATGTGAATAAGTTCACGGATATTCCTCACTTTTTCTTCCATTAGATTCAGTGTGTCTGGTTTTAT